AAAAATTTTCAGAATTTTGACCTGGATTGCAGAATTTTATGGGGAAAAACGGTAACACTTTTTGACACAAAATTTTGAAGATATGTATTTCAGCAAGTCTAGAACGTACATAAAAATTTTCATGCCAATCCAAGGTCTAGAAGTATTTTTCGCAAAATTTTCCCCAAAACCACGCCAGACAGAAAATTAACTGGCAACATACTGCCAAAAATTTTACAGAATTTTCTAGGATAACTGGAGCATATTTTCAACAAAAACTTTTATAGATATCAAATAACACAAGTTTAGGTTCTCCAGGAAAAATTTCATGCCAAAAGGAGTTCAAGAAGTATTTTTCAAGAATTTTATTTTCAAACTGCGCCGGTCAAAATTTTCAGGCAGTGATTACTATGTAAAAAAAATTCACAATTTGTTTGCTTCAGGCAAACCAGCATGATGTGAGTCAATTTTGACTTTTGGAGAGTAGCATAGCATTAGAAATAGAATTTGCAAACTTCATTCATGAGCCATTAGTCACCTTAAAGATCAATCCACATTCAGGGTCTTCCAAACCTTATTAAAAAAAATAGCCCAATGACCAAACACTTAGCTTAATTTTGTCATGTACTACTACTGGAGTTCAATGTGACAAACTGACAATCATAACTGACGGGCAAGATAACGAGTGACAGATAAATTAGTGCTCTTGGTTTACCTTCTGGGCAAAATTATATAAAAAAATTAGGTACTATCATTTCGTTTAAATACTTAGATTTGAGATCTATTTCAATGCCAAGACTCATGTAAAAGGAAAAAAAAATAAAGACTAGCACCATAAATAAGCTTAAACTTGGACAAATAATTAATTGACTTCTAAATAAGTACCAAGTCAATTTTTATTAGGAGATTGTCCTATAGTGCTGTTTATATTCTAATTAGTGTTATGACTTGTAGCCTTCTGGGCAATGCTATGTCTAAAAATTCAAGCTATAATAAAATGTGAGATTAATCTCAACATATACACGACGTATAGCAAATAATTAATTGCCAACAGGAAAATAACAAATTCAAGCCTAATCAAGATAGTATATGCTCAAATTTCCAAGGAGCATTAGCTGACTATAATCCATGTTTCTTCCCTCATTGTTTTCGTAGCAGCAAAAAAAAAACCCAACTTGAATACATTTACATTATGCAGTAGGGAATGTTCAATTACATAAAGAATTAGCATGCGCAGTCATCATAGTTGAACTTTGCACATGACTAGCATTAAATTTATATTATTATTAGCATCAGAAAACAAACTGGACTAATACTGTATGCATGAGTCATGTCCAAATTAAACCCGTTTTGCAGTCCCAAAACCATTGCCAACAAAAGGCACCCGTGTTGATAACGTGTTGTATAATTAAACAGCAGGGCGAAGGAAAATACAGAGAATGGAGAGGGATCTTCTCATTTATCTTCATGAGCCATTCTTATGGCAAGATACATATATACAAGGTAAGAGTAAATATGTACTAAATTGAAATAAGTATATCAGTTACAAATACAACTGTTACAAAGATGGATAATAATGTCCACAATAATATTTCTTTATAACAAAAATATCATTTTCCATAAAAAAAAAAAAAAGTAATGTTTTAAAACTTCAATGAAATTTAAACTAAAAAAAAAAAACATAATTGAAGATATCTTTCAATTAATTTTACAATATGAGTCAAAATTCGCAAAGGTGTGGCCTAGGATGAATTCAGATTAGTCAAATTAAACCAAATAAAATGAATCAAATCTACCACTAAGAGTCAAAATTTGTCAATATATTGTGTTCCAAATTATGCTATAGCGTAGGATGAGAAAGTATATGAACAAATACTACATTGTAATAGAGTCAGCAGCATTCAAAAAAATATATATATTAAACTAGCATTTTGTATGCGCGATGTGCGAAAATTCATGCCCAATATTAAAATATTGATAAATATAAATTATTAAAAATTATAATTTGAATTATATATACACAAATAATATATGTATTTTGTACATACATATATAATTTATCATTCATAGAAATTTAATTAAAATATAATTAAACATTAAATTAATATATAATGATTTTAACAAAATGATAATTAAAAAATAGAAAAAAGATATGATAGATATAGGTGTATGGTAATAACGATGTGTTATCAATTTTAGAATTAAAAACTAACGGTGTAAGGGTAGTTTTGTCTAATAATATTGAAATGTACAACATTTAAAATAAAATGTACACATTTATTTGCATACAAAAAGAGAGACATAAATCAAAGATATAACTTTAATTGAGGCTTATTATGTTTTTAGATTAGTTTTTTTTTCTTTAATAATTTTGAAGTTATTTTGTAGTTGCAGAAAGTTCGTACTCCGATCCATGCAGCTTCGAAATCAAAAGGGACGAGGACAATCAATTTAAGGACGAGGAGAAGCAATTTAAGGATTTCATGGACAAGCTAAGCAATTTAAGGACTTCAAGGACAAACTCTGTAAGGACGAGCACAAGCTTTGTAAGGACGAGCCAAAATAGAGTTTATAAGTATACTAGTTTTTTACGGGCATTGCGCGATTGAGATAATGCCCAATGTTTTTTTTTATAAGTACTTTAAAGTGTATCAAGGCAAGATTATATTAGAATTGTTCATGCATAGATAATTGAATGTTAAATTTGCATATTTAAATAGGCAATTCTAAGTTTACAAATGCAAAATAATATAGTCAAGATTGATTATAATTGTTAATAAAATAATTGTATAGGTACAGTTGAAACCAAATATGGGACATAAGGGAGAGCAAATAAAAATTAGGGCATAAAATATTAAATATATACTAATATTGAAGAACTAACTGCTGATTGCCAATATGATTGGCTTAATTATATTTTTTATTTTTTAAAACAATTATTATTATTATTATTATTATTATTATTATTATTATTATTATTAAATATATGTATACCCTTAGGTCATGTAATTACATGTTAATCTAAACAACTAATTTTTTCAAATATCTTTTTACCAATCGTTGATATAATTCGCTGGTCAAATTCGCTAATATAATCCGTTAACGATAACCGCTAACTGCTGATTGTCAAACGAGGACATTGTGAGGTAGTTCTTACTTCAATTTGTTGTATGATTTGAATACCTCTTTGTCAATAAATCCCTCAAATAGTTAATATGATTGGCTTTATTAATTATATTTTTTTAATTTTTTCATGGTATTAATAAAATACTTGGTAAATAAATATATAGCATTATTTTGTATTATAACTTTGATATTTAATTAAAAAATAGTGCACAAAAAAGATAATAGACAATATAGTGAATATAATCAATTGATGGATTTAAATTTAAAGAATTTTTACATTGGAGAAATATAAAGACAATATAACTAATAAAATTATTTCTCTTAATTAATTAATTGATAATGAATAATTTTTTTAATAAAGACATTGTACGGACAATGTAGCGAATATAATCAATTGATGAATTTGAATGTAAAGAATTTTTATATTGGAGAAAAATAAATACAATATAACTAATGAAATTATTTCTCTTATTTAATTTATTGATAATGAATAATTTTATTTGAATAAAGACATTGTAGACACATAATTTTAAATTAAAGATATGCATATGTATTATTTTTTGTTGTAGCTACTAAATTATTATTTAATTTAATAGGAGTAAAATATAGTACTAATTATGCCAACTTTGATTGGGATGAAGTTCGAACCTAAGACCTTTCTTATTGAAATCAATGAGTAAGTTAATGGTGGACTAACAGAAATTAACAGAAAAGATAATATTTAACGGAAAAGTTAACGAATAATCATATTCATTAAGGATAAATTAAGAAATTTTAAGGAAATATTAAAATCTGATCAATCTGAGCCATTAATTTGATTAAAAAATTTGGCCGTCATTTTTTCTACCAATTATAGGCCTAACTCTCTTGAGCTCTTATTAGTATAGTAGATATATATATATATATATATATATATATATATATATATATATATATATATATATATATATATATATATATAATAGGTATAACATTCCACCACAAAATAATCACCAGTTATAGCCTCATAAAATTCCATAATTTACCACTAAATACCACGCACCAAGTCAATGAGGAAGAAAAAATATCCAGCAAGAGTCATTATGTACTTCGGCTGCAGTGACCAAAAAAATCAATCAGAGACCAACCCAGTTGGCTCGAGGTCAATCCAATTTTTTTAAAAAAATATTAATAGTGATATGAGTGTTTTATAATATGTTTTCTATTCAAACTATTTTACCTAATTAATTATATTTCATATTTTTTTGATTTTTTAAATTTCATTTTGATATATTTTAATTTTCACCCTAATTAACAATATTTATGACTTGACCACTAAGTATTATTTTTCAAAATATCTCATTAATTTTTAATCTTTCGCCCCCACTGCCGAAGATTCCTGAATCCGCCCCTAGAAATGAGGGCTCTATTTATAGTCGAGAAAATATAACTTCCACCCTACTATAAATAAATAATTATTTAGGATGAATAGTAAGAGTTTATCCAAAATGAACATTGTATTGTATCCACTTTCAAGATTCTATTATTATATTTATATTTAATATTTAATTATAATTATAATTATAATTATTTAACTTCAAATATTAAAAAAAAAAAAAAAACTTAGTAAAATTTAAAAAAATAAATTAAATATATTGAATTGTGGAAGCTGTGGAGCTGCATGCGCTGAAGATGAGAGGAAGCTAAGGTGATCTGATGAGGGAGAGATTATTGAATTGAGTGGAAGAGGAAGAAGCAGTAAAGCAATGAATTAAGGAAGACCAATGAATTAATTTAAGGAATTGAAGACCAAGCCAGATCCACATTTAATTAATTAAAGCATCATATTATCCTAAAACAACGCAACACAACTAACCCTTAGCTTTAACTATAAATATAATACCATTTCCCATCCATAATCATCAACCTTAACTTAAGGAATTGAAAAAAAACACCAAACAATATATATAAACAACAATGGCGGCTGCCCAGAAGTTGTTGGTTGCAGTGTCGTTTCTGGTGTGCATCTTTGTCTCCGCCGAGGAAGAGCCTGACCTTGATAAGATTTACCGGGCATGCTTCGATCCTTGCATTTCCGGTTGCGTAGACGGAGGAGAAGACATCTTCTTCTGCGATAAAAGTTGTGACGCCAAATGTAAAACCAAGGCGTATGATGGTATATATATCTATCTATCTACTATAGCCAAAGAGAGTTAGGCATATACTGGGTAGAAAAAATGACTAAGTTTTATATTCACTACATTGTTTTTATTTTTATTTTTTTTTTTGCATTATTTTTTAATGCTATATATTTATTTACTAAGTATTTTATTAATACCATGAAGAAATTAAAAAAAATATATATATATATAATTAATAAAGCCAACCATATTAACTACTTAGGGATTTTGTGACAAAAAGAGTATTCAAATCACACAAGAAATTAAAGTGAGAACTACCTCGTAATGTCTTTGTTTGACAAAACATTGGGTAGAAAAAATGATCGCCAAATTATTAAATCAAATGAATTGTTTAGATTTTTTATTTCTTAAATTTTCTAATTTGTCCTTAATTATATGATTATTCATTAATTTTTAAATACCGTTAATTCCTGTTAGTTTAATTCTAATATTAAAGTCTAATATAAAATTATAACTACACCATTAATCTAATTCTAATATTAAAGTCTTAATAGTTTTTATTTGATCTCTCTTATGTCCCGTAAAACATCAAGTATTATATAAAAGATAAATTATATAACTACACCATTGATCTCACTTTGATCCAATTTGACTCCATCCCGCCCATCAAGATCCTGAATTGGATTAGTTTGATTGGGCCTGTAAAAGATAAATTATATAAAAATACCTTCCTAAACATAATTTATGATGTGTTCTCACTTATATATTATTAGTTTTTTTTTTTCCTATAATAATTTTGAGGTTATTTTGTAGAAGTAGAAGGTGCGGCGAGGAAAAAAGGAGGAGGTTGGGGAGGTTGGGGAGGAGGTTGGTTCCCTTTTAAGGTTCCAAGTCAGGCCGAGGACGATCAATTTAAGAATTTAAAGGAGAAGCTATTTAAGGACTTCATGGACAAGCATTGTAAGGCCGTGATGGATAAGCAATGTAAGGACGAGGACCAGAAATGTAAGGACGAACAGAAGCTCTGTAAAAACGACGAGCAGAAGTTCGTTAAGGACGAGGCCTAAGGACGAGGACAAACAACTTATGGACGGGGTAAAAACTTAGAAGAATAATAAAGTAATAAGGACGGAGTAAAAATCTAGAAGAATAATAAATCAATATATTATATTTAATGTAAAATCTGTATTTGAAGTGTTAAGATCATATTTTGAGATAGTGATGATTTTTCTGTCACCCGTATCATGTAAAGACTATATATCATTTTTTAATAGTTGAAAGTGAAGCTCATGTTTCGCGTTCAAATTGAATATATAATCAAGAAGTAGTGAATAATTATTTGATTTTTTCTCATATTAAAAATAATATTTTATCATTTTCATATAGCACTAATAATTTAAAATTAATGTTTAAAAACTTCAATGATATCTAAACTAATAAAAACATAATTGAAGATATCTTTCAATTAATTTTACAATAAGAAAATGATGAAAATATTATACATGTTTAAAAAGATCAAAATATTATTTATTTAATTATAATATGATCATATGTTTAAATTAATTAATTATAAATGCATGTCTGCAAATTATATTACACTAGTTTGATTTTATTTTCACAGCAAAATTTACTAATATTTATTGTTGATGATCATGGATCTTACAAAATGCAATGAAATCCCCCTTCACTCTCTTCTTTAGTATTATTACAGCAAATTTTGAAGTACTATTATGATAATATATTAATATTAAAATTTAAAACACATATATGTTCCATACTTCCATGCACCTCATAGCATTATTTTGTATTATAACTTTGATATTTAATTAGAAAAATAGTGCACAAAAAGATAATAAATAATGTAGTGAATATAATCAATTGATGAATTTGAATGTAAAAATTTTTACATTTGAGAAAAATAAAGACAATATAACTAATGAAAATATTTCTTTTAATTAATTTATTGATAATTAATAATTTTTTTTTCACTGAATAAAGACATTGTAAGGATAATGTAGCGAATATAATCAATTAATAAATTTGAATATAAAAAATTTTTATATTGAAGAAAAGCAAAAAATATTTTTAATAATGACGGTCGATGAATAGCACGATTGGTAATGAGGAAATAAGTAAACGAAATTTAATCCTCATTAAATAATTAAAGTAGTACATGGAACTAACAACACTTTCTCTAAAAGGGTAGGTAGAATATGTCGTGAAAAACCTCAATAGAAAAATTCAGTGAGAAAAAACTAGTTGAGGAAAAGAGTATAAAAAAAAAAAAAAAAAAAAAAAAAAAAAAAAAACCAAAGAAAAGAGTACAAAAAAAAAAACAATAGAGAAAATCTATTGATTAAAAAAATCAATAGAAAATAATATCAAAACTTAATTAGAAGAAAAAGAGTACATCTATTAATTTTCAAGACCAATAAATAAAAATCTTCAAATATCACACATAAAAATACCTTCTTAAAAATAATTTTTCAAATCTCACACATAAAAATACCTTTGTGTAGAAAGGGATTTTGTAAACAAATCTTCTAGATTGTCACAACAGTGAATATCTTGTACAATAATCTAATGACTCTTCTAGAGCATGGGTTAATTTTAGCGCTATGCTTTGCCAAAATATTATTTAACATACCCATATATAATTTGTGCAACACAAGCGTTATTTTCCTCGAATAAAACATTGGGGACGGGGTAAAATCAAGACTTGCATTAAGGGAATCAAACAAAATAGCTTGCTAGTACCTAAATAGCCTATCTAAACCACATATTCGTTTCTCACATAAAAATCAAAATTTCTATAACTCAAAGATATTGAAGGATATGTTAAACCCTATTTCAACATTCATTGTAGGAGGAGCGCTAAGTGCTGCTAGCAATTTCATCCCAAAAATACGGCATGTTGCGATTATAGAACTTATGGTACCGGTCTTAAAGTGATGCTCCAACAACAATGAAATAATAGAAATTTGGTCATAATGTATCTTTATTATCCTCTTCGAGTCTAAACGGTTCCTTATCTACTTCAAGAGATTGGACAACTGCTAGTGTGATAAGTAAATGATACTTATCCATATATACAAAACATCCTCAAGTCGTTTTTCAATGTAGGCTAACTAGTTTGTAATATTCCTTTACGGGGCGTTTGGTTGGAGGGAGGGAATTACATGGGAAATGAATTACAATTCCATGGGAGATGAATTACTGGGAATAAAGTGAAAATTTAAATTCCAGTGTTTGGTTTACAGGAATAAAATTACTGGGAATTTCAATTCCAATGTTTGGTATACATGATAATTGAAAGGGAATAAGTAGTTTAAAGTCCAAAATGCTCATTGTTGTTGTTAGGCATCAATTTTAGGTTTAAAAAGGAGATGTGTAATTTTGTCTCATCATTATCTTTTTTCTTCCTAAAATCCATGGAATTAAAATCCTAAGGGGGGACATGGGATTTTTTTTGAAAATCAACCAAAATGATTGTATTAATGAATCAAAGCTACAATAGAGTCAGGAGGGATAAAATCCCAATACATAGATTGGTCCTGTGAAAAAGCTAAACAAGCTAAAGTATGAGCATGCAAATTAACATGCCTAGAAACATAACTTAATGAGCAATAATTAAATAAAGCCATAGATACCCTACATTGGTACACCACGACCCCAACATAGGATAATATAGACATTGATTCCTGGCGTATAACATTCCGAAGCTCTGTACAATCCGTGAGGAGATCCACTGTTGTTACGTTTTTCTCCAACACCCAGGATAGGGCCTCCTTACAGGCTAGTGCCTCCGCCATAAGTGGCGAAAAAACATACCGACAGCTTTCCACTTCGTGCCACCAAAAATGAGCCTTCCGGCGATAGCAGCACCACGCCGAAGGTCGCCTCCCCAGTGGCCTGCCAAAATCCCGCGTCCATGTAGCATCTCGGCCTGCCGTGATCCGCACTCATTGACGCTGCAACCGGGACGGGTTGAGGGGGCTGAATGTTGGCTTGCCGATACGAGCTCAAGGCAACCGCCGCCCTCGTCCATACGCTGATGGGATGTGGGGGGGCGCCATCCCAAACCGCTGAATTGCGGCTCCTCCATAATTGGTACAACACTGCTATCATGATCCACATTGTTCGTCTGTCAATATTGTAAGTACACTTGTTAGCCATGTTGGGAATGAGTTGGTAATAATATTTGTGATAGGTAGATGTGAAACATTCCAAACAAGCCTAGAATATTCACAGGTAACTAATGCATGCATAATATCTTCATGAGCCAAACCACACATTTGACATGTTGGATCCATCTCCACTCTCTTTATAATCAAATTAGTAGTTGTGGGGAGAATATCACATTTGCCCTCCACAAGAATGTCTTCCATTTTGGAGGGACCTTCATCTTCCATATAGTAGTCCATTTATAAAAATTCTCCGGGGCATGCTCATAATTCCCCATAATATTTCTGTAGGCATTCTTTACCATATAAATCCCTTTGGGATCACCAAGCCAATACCATGAGTCCTCATAATCCGGGCTTACAGGAATTTTAAGTATACTATTCACATCCTCAGCACTAAATAAATCAGCCAGAATATGGGGATCCCAAGTGTTAGTCTATTGATCAATTAATCCTGCCACCCGGGCTTCCCTCAATTCCTCTGGCATGTCTGTTTGAACGAGGGGACTGGGATCATCTGGTAACCATGGGTATCCCCAGATCAATGTTGTTTCACCATTATCAATTCGCCTTCGTACGCCTATAACAACCATATCATGTGCTGCCATAATACTCCTCTAAGAATAACTAGGGCATTTTCTTACCTGGGCATCAATAAATGAAGTATTAGGAAAATAACGTTTTTATAAATTCTTGCAACCAGGGAGCTGGGGTTTGTGAGGAAACGTCATGCCTGTTTTCCCAACATAGCCAAATTGAAACCACTGAGATCCTTAAATCCCAAGCCACCAAACTTTTTAGGGATACATAATTAATCACAGGCCTTCCAGAGAATTCCCCTATCCATGCCACTTCCCCACCAATATCTATTCATGGTCCTCTGAATTGATAAACAAACCGTGTCTGGTAGTAAGAAAACACTCATTGAAAATGTAGGCATTGACTGTGCCACACTTTTCAACAGAATTTCCTTACCAGCCTGCGAGAGTAATTTCTTGTTCCACGAACCAATCTGCTGCTTGATTTTATCCTCAACATAAGAAAACATCGCCCTTCTATTTCTTCCCACAAAAGTGGGAAGTCCCAGATATTTCCCTCTGATATGCAAAATAGTAAATATGCAAAAATCCTCAAGTGATAAAGCCGAACTTGGCTATGATCCTTCGTGTTCTCAAGCCTCTGAAAAATTGACCAATTCTACTACTGCTTTAAATAATAAAGTCCAAGTAGTAAAATTTATAAAAGGTCAAGATAACACAATAAGACAAGGAATTAGTTATCAAACTAATGCCAAATTTAATGCTGCAAGGCCGAAGCCTCAAAGAAATGATATTTTGCTAAAGCAGTTTGTACAAAAACAAAAGTTTGTTCCTAAATGGAAACATACCAATGAGTCAAGTGCACAAAGACCTCTTAGGAAAACGGGAATAACTTCGAGAATTGGGGCAGAGAGATTTTATCCCTCTAAACAAGATTAGTTTGATGATATTAAACCATAAACTAAGTCCAGATTTAATGCCTTTCATAGGCTTAAACAATCTTCTTCCCAAGTGCCAAAAAATCGAGCCAATTTTCAAAAACCCACACAAAAAATGTTTTCTAAAATTAGCTATGATTATAATGTGTTTAATAGTTACCAATCACCTAAACTTAGATCAGTGAGTACTAGGTGGATTTGGGTACCAAAAATGACTAACACCCAAGGACCCAAATCATGTTTGGTACCTAAAAATGTGTAATTTATTTGCAGGAAATTTGGTACTTCGATAGTGGATGTTCTAGACACATGACTGGAAATAAATCTAGTCTTGTGAACTTTAAAAATATCGAAGGACCAAAAGTCGTATTCGGTGGAAATGAACGATACGGCATAACCAAAGGAATTGGTACAATATCCCGCAACGGTCTAAAAATTGAAGATGTATCCTTTGTTGAAGGTCTAAAATTCAACTTGTTAAGTACAAGCCAATTTTGTGACAAAGGATATCTAGTAGAATTCTTCAAAGAAAAATGTCAAGTGAAGAATGATTCCACGGGAGAAATTGTACTTGAAGGAACAAGGAAGAAAAATATGTACGTAGTTGACTGCAGTACAACCAAACGATC